CCCTCCTCACCTTAAACTACATAACTCAGAGCCTCTCACATACCCTGGCTTCACGTGTTCAGTTCACTAGTAGGTCAAGTGGGACATTTGGCAGCCAGGGCTTCCCTGAACGGTACATGCCTTCGCTACATGTGATCTGCATGGTCTGTAGCAACACAGATGCTCTTGGGAAGCACACACTACTGACAGAAGGTGTCAATGTGCAATTAGGCCAGCTTAATGCCACCCCAGTCCCAATTCAATGGGCAAATACGGAAAGGATTTGCTGTCGTTAAGGCCTGTCATTTACAGCCTTCCTGGAAGGGGAGAGAAACAAAAGTGTTTTCCTAGAAGCTGAAGACTTAATTCTCTGACAATTCACCACGAACACACAGGACATGCAGTGAACAGACTGTACGCATGCAAGGATGCCAGCGGAGGCGGGGCTACTGAGGTACTAAGGCTGCCCGAGCCTGTCAATCAATTTGTGCTCCGATTTCCACCGACTTTCCTAAGGAAGGGAAACCTTCCCCTGGTGCACTCAAAAGAGTAAGGGGTGCCATGGACCTGGAACATCACGCTGCCCACATGCCTCATGCTTGCAGTTTGCTCCTTCATGAAGAGGTCCTTACGTGTGGCAGCAGCCCAGATCTCTTAATACTTCTGCTGTGGTAATGACTTTTTCAGAGACTTTAGTGTATTCTTACTTGATAACTGTTCTGTTATATATGATTTGACTATGTTAAAGTTAAGACCTTTCTTTTTGTTTAAACAGAAAAGAGGAGATGTTGGGGAAGTCCTGTTATTTGCCTGTTATTTGTCAATAAAGCACTGTCTGGCCTATAGGGAATCTAGATAGGAGGGACTAGGAGTCCAGGAAGATTCTGGGAAGGAGAAACACAGGAGTTCAAGATGTAACTCCATGAGGTAGGAGGCCCGGAAATTTCTCCGGTAAGAGAAATACTTAGATTAACAATTATGGGGTAATTACTTAAGTCAGAGCTAGCCAGTAAGAAACAAGCAAGGCCAACAGCTTCATAATTAATACAGTGTCTTCCGTGTTTATTTGGGGACTACAACGCGGCAGAGCCCAGTCGGCTGGCGGGGGGATAAACCAAAGTGGCTAGCAAAGATAAAGCTTCTCTTAACACTTTAGTCTAATGCTTCCATTCCCTTCGTAGCAGATTTCGTTTGCACACTGGCCTAGTCACACAAGTTGCTGAATTTCCAGTCACTGGGCCATGGGTAAGGTTACCAAACAACAAATTGTTTTGTTTTGTTTTGCTTTTTTTGTTTGTTTTGTTTTTCTTCCATCAGATGTGCTTCAAGTGCAATTCAGCTCAATGTTTTCTCTTTTGCTTTCTGCTTTTGTTTTTTGTTTGTTTTGTTTTTGGACAGGATCTCTCTGTTTTATAGATCTGGTTGTCCTGGAGCTCACTGTGCAGATCAGACTGACCTTGAAGTCACAGAGATCCACCTGCCTCTGCCTCCTGGGTACCAAGGTTAAAGGCATGTGTCACCACACCCAGGCAGCTCAGTGCTTTGTACGGTGGCATCTACTGCATCACGCTGAAGTTTTGAATCCCTTAGCATTTAAGTTGTTACCCTGCCTTTATAAAGCCCAACTGATTGCAAAGTCTGATTTTAAGAAAACGTAGCCTCCCTACCCTGAATTTCATTCAACTAAATGTCTTCTGAACATTATCCAGTGCAACGTTTCCACATACAAGAGGTTTTCATACAGGAGGCTGTACTGTCCTCAAGGGTGGCAACCAGTCCATGTGCCTAGCATGCGGCTTCCAATGCTAAACTGGAAAGTCCAGGGAAGCTTAAGAGAGAAAGTCATCCCCAGTGACATCATACTTAGCTGGTACAGGGCAGTGAGGTAAAGTGCTAAGGAGTAGGCCAAACCTCAACTTCCAAAAATTCAAAGAAGAAATTAGTTTGGTTTTCTTCAGGACTCTCTGATATTCATATTAGTCGTTCCTCCTTTCTCTTCTTTTCCTCCCTCTTCTGTCCCTCTTTCTCTCTGCCATCCTTCTCTCCCTATTCCTTGTAAGAGATTAATAAAAAAAAGTGCTTCTCTGGTAAGAGTCACCTATTAATCAGACCAACTTATTGATTCTAAACAGATGCAAACCAGAATTTTCTCATCTGTGCTTTTCAGTTATCTGACAGGCCTTTGCACTTAACGTGATGAGCTAATATTAAGGCATTCTTTATAACCATGACTTCTGTTTAAGCACCAACAAGGAGAGGAGGGAGGAGAGGCAAAAGGGTTAACAAACACTGGGGTGGCACAGCCTCCCCTCAACGCAGGAAGTATAACGGTCTGATGTAGCGCACGCCCAAGCTGACGGACGGGTCCATACTCTAAAACCCAAGTTTGAATCAGCCCACAACATAATACAAGGAGTCTGATGTCTACATTTTAAAACACATAAATAACCAGTACCTAATTAATCAGTCTTAGCTATAGACAACCAAAACCAACCAATACCAACACCCTGAAATCCCCAAACCTGGAAGTCTGACACATTTACCTGTGTATGTCGGTGAAGACAGGTTGTCAGATACTCATTTTCATTTTGAAATATAGGTAGCACTTAAAGTTCATGGAGGTTTTCCTGTAAGCTACTGTCAGAACAGAGGGTCGTGTGGACCAGTTTATGTTTAGAAAGCACAGAGTTATTATGGATATCTAGCAAAAGTCAGTTAAAACATGACTGTCATGCAGGAGAGCTACAAGTCAACACAAAATCCCTGACACTGGACATCCAGGGAACTGCCAAGTAAACAGTGATGTAATCGGCTATAAATTTTTGGCAGATAACCACTTTTATGTGATTCTAATGTAGCCTTGAGGTCAGAGGCCCAAGCCTTAGCCTGCCTGGCTCTGGCATGTCTGTTTGTCTGTAGGTAACACGAAAAACAAAAGATCCAGAGACAGATACTGGGGATAAAGCTGAATATCAGGGAAGCAAAGCAGATGGCCACTGACTCTCACCTCTAGCTTGGGCTGAAAGGACTGATCCACACATGAGCTCCTCACCAAGCCTCAGACTGCTGCCTCTCCTCAGTGTGGCTGGAGAACGAATGCCTCTCTGAGACCTTGCTTCTGTCTTGCATACTTCCCTAGTGCTGGGGTTAAAGGTGTGAGCTGTAATTCCCTTTAAGACTGATTCATTTGTGTGGATCTGGGTAGCCTTGGACTCAGAGAGATCCATCTACCTCTTAATCCTGAGTCCTAGGATTAAAGGTGTGCACTGTCACCTTCTAGCTTCTGGCTGCTGGGATTAAAGGTGTGTGCCTGGCTTCTACAGCTTGTGGCTGACTTTGCTTTCTGAACCCTCAGGCAAGCTTTAATAAATCATAAATAATATATCATCAAGCAACCTGTGTGACTTCCTGCGTGCACTCATGGGTGCTGGCTTGCACCTGGGTTCATACCAGCAGCTGCCTCCCTGGAAGATTGTGTCTAGGTAAATAAAGTACGTTTCATCTACCCATGATTCCTTGAAATCTCTAACCTCCCAGCCTCCTGTGACCTTCCTTCTCCTTTCCTGGCTTTGGGCAATGGATCTCACACTCTCTCTTGTCATGTTTCCCATGTATCCACAATTTACTTCAGAGTTATCCAAAATCATTCTTCTTACCCACGAAGGCTCCAATATCCTGGGTCCCACCACTATGACACTTACACTATCTCTCACACGGCAGCCACGCTAACGGCATAGAGAATACTGCAGACTGACACACGTAACTAATGCCCACCACAAGAAGAATGATCACGAGTTTTGAAGATAGCCTGTGTTATATGAGGGAGCCCTGCCTTAAATGAAAAACAGTGTCAGAGAAGGCACTGAAGCCTTACTATAGTTTGGTGTAATTATAGCCTAGAGGTTTGGGATAGGCAGGGTTCACCATCTCAGGGGAGCCATGGGTAATTGAGGGCTGGGCTCCCTCCGGGCAGGAAGCAGAGGACCAATGGTAGCTTTCAGGAACATAAAACATCAAGATCTACATGGCTGGACCGCCCAATGCTCTCTCTCAAGCTCCCTGTTCCCTGACACTTTGTGACAAGTGTCACGGGCATCACGCAGGGAGCAACGGGCAGGGTGTGAAAATTTGTGCAAAGACCTCACCATCCCCGCCATCCCTATAGCCCATGCCCTCCACTGTCTGCGAAGAAGATGAGAAAAAGGCTTGCTGGACCATTCTCTCACTTAGTAAGTTGCTGGTGGACTGGCTACAGGGTGTCTGAAAGATGACACAGGCAAAACACGTTCAAGAAATAGTAAGGGCTGGTGAGGTGGTTTAGCATGGTATAGGCAGTTGCCTCTAAATGTAAGGACCTGGGTGCAATTCCCAGGCCTCACACGGTAGGAAAAAAAAAAAAAGTGTGTGTGTGTGTGGGGGGAGTCATCCTCTGATTTACACAGTAACAAACTACAGAAATAAATATAATATAACGAATAGTACAAGATACGCATTCAAGGCCTGGAGATGGTGGCCGCACGCCTTTAATCCCAGCAACTCGGGAAGCAGAGGCAGGCGGATCTCTGTGAGTTCCAGGCCAGCCTGGACTGTTGCAGGACAGTCAGGGCTACACAGAGAAGCCCTGTCTCGAAAAACCAGAAGAAAGAAGAAAGAAGAAGAGAGGAGAAGAAGAAGAGGAAGACGAGGAAGAAGAGGAAGAAGAGGAAGAAGAAGAAGAAGAAGAAGAAGAAGAAGAAGAAGAAGAAGAAGAAGAAGAAGAAGAAGAAGAAGAAAGTATCCAAGCGAGTTTTGTTGATCTTAATCTCCCTGTGAGGCAGGCTGCACTTTCCCTGAAGGCAGACAGATAGCTTATCGCTCTTATCTTGGTGTTTTCCCCCTCCAAGCACACACAGAGCTCGGGCCTGTCTCTGCTTGGCTGCTCCTCCGGCCTCCCGCCAGCAGGTGGCGCCAGGCAGTCCTGCCCACCGGAATACAAAAAGGACCCGGATGGGCACGGGGAGTTGGGGCGGAGTTTTCAACCGCTGCGTGCGCGCGTGCGCACACAGCCCGCCTCACTAGGCCGGTGCTCGGGGTAGGAGAAGGGCCTGCTTCTGCCCGCTCTCCCGCTCGCTCGCCCGCCAGCCAGCCCGCCCGCTCTGCTCTCTGCAGCCGCCCCGCCATGGCTCGCGGTCCGAAGAAGCACCTGAAGCGTGTGGCCGCCCCTCGTCACTGGATGCTGGACAAACTGACGGGCGTGTTCGCGCCCCGTCCGTCCGCGGGCCCGCACCGCCTTCGTGAATGCCTGCCGCTCGCCATCTTCCTGAGGAACCGCCTCAAGTACGCGCTGACGGGCGACGAGGTGAAGAAGATCTGCATGCAGCGCCTCATCAAGGTGGACGGCAAGGTGCGCACCGACGTGGCCTACCCGGCAGGCTTCATGGACGTCATCAGCATCGACAAGAGCGGGGAGAACTTCCGCCTGGTGTACGACACCAAGGGCCGCTTCGCCGTGCACCGCATCACGCCCGAGGAGGCCAAGTACAAGCTGTGCAAGGTGAGGAAGGTCTTCGTGGGCACCAAGGGCATCCCGCACCTCGTGACGCACGACGCGCGCACCATCCGCTACCCGGACCCGCTCATCAAGGTCAACGACACGGTGCAGATCGCCCTGGACACGGGCAAGATCACCGACGCCATCAAGTTCGACACGGGCAACCTGTGCATGGTGACGGGGGGCGCCAACCTGGGCCGCATCGGCGTCATCACCAACCGCGAGCGACACCCGGGCTCCTTCGACGTGGTCCACGTGAAGGACGCCAACGGCAACGGCTTCGCCACCCGCCTCTCCAACATCTTCGTCATCGGCAAGGGCAACAAGCCCTGGATCTCCCTGCCTCGGGGCAAGGGGATCCGCCTGACCATCGCCGAAGAGCGAGACAAGAGGCTGGCGGCCAAGCAGAGCGGGTGAAGCGGGGGACTCTCAAGGGACGTGGGGGTTGGGGACGGGCGCATTTTGTAGTCTTTTTTTCTACTTAAAAAGGAAGCCGGCTTCGTTACGGGGCCGTTTTTTTGTATTCGTTTACCCTTCCAGTTTGAGAAAGCATGTTGAATTAAAAAAGGAAAAAAAAAGGAAGCCACCTTCATCCTGGTCTGTGGTTTGTTTTTTTTCTCCCCTCGCCACACGCCGCCGCACTGCCTCGTCATTAGGGAGTGGGGGAACCACCCCCACGTGTGGTCACCTCGTCTTGCAAAAGATGGGTACAAAGCAGGGTTTGGGTAACCCTTGCTGACAACCGAACAAATGTTGTTGCGTTATTCCCTTTAATATCCCAGGGTTGGGGTTGAATGCCTAGAGGCCTATAAAATCGGTAGGAACTTTTAGACTTTTAGATGTCAGACTCTTAATGTCAGCCGTCTCCCCCCACCCCCAAGCATCCTGGAAATAAAGAACCCCCAAAAGTTATGAGGTATAAACATGGGATTATTCGGGTCAGGACTATACACATGGAGAAACCCTGTCTCAGAAAACAAAGACAAAAAAAAAAAGGCAAAACAGAAAATGAGGTTGTTATTCTAACCCCCAAGGCTAATAATTTAGAGAATATACTGAAATGTAACCCTTAACTAGGAACCTGTGGCCAACTGTATTATGATACGAGTAGTAAGTCAAGCTTTCTATTGCCAGGGTGTTTCTTTAAAACAAAGTGCGGCTATAATTTTCTCTCTTAGAAAACCCCCAAATTTATGGAAACAGAAAATCCAAAGCAAGAAAAATAACACTGAAGCAAGGCTTGCAAAGAAACTAATTACAAGAGAACTCAGTCGTCTTCATAATAGCAGCTTAGAGGTAAAATGAAAATAATTTATTTCCTAGCACTTCAATGCCAGTGAGCCAGGAAAGTTGAATAGTAGTTCTCCAATTTTGCCGTCTTGCCTGCTCAAACAAGATTTTCAGGATGTGTGTGGGGGCAGTGCCCACAGATGTTGGAGGTGGAAGACCCCTCGAGACGGGGTGATAAGCAGTTGTGAGCTACCGGATCTGAGAACAAACTCGGGTCCCAGGCAAAGAGCAGTGTCCCTCTTAGTCATTAAGAGATAAGATATCCCAAAGATGAGGATCTTATTTACAAAAAGATGGCTCTTACTTTTTAATGCTGAATCCCTTCGAATGAACTGGCATCTCATTAATTTGCTAACGTTAAAATATAACATGGAACATAGGCATACGTGTTCATGTGCACACGGTTAGCACTGTATCCTAACAGCCACTACAAATGATTGAGGTGAATACACAGGATTTTTTTCTTACTCAATAGTAACACAGAAGAGCCTGGCTCAGACATTCTGTGTTCAATAAAACTTAACTTTTTTTTTTTTTTGAGACTGCCTCCCCAGCCCTGGAAGGTTCTAAATTTCCTGTGTAGCCAAAGATAGCCTTGAACTGCTTGTCTCGTCTCCTCATGCTGGAATTATGAGCTTTTTACAGGTCAGGTTTGTGTGGTACTGAACCCTGGGCTTCCTGAACACCAGACAAGCATTTTACCAACATAGCCACATCTCTGTGTTATAAATGTTATTTTAAACTGGCTGTATAGCTCAATTTCTTAGAGTGCCTGCCTAGCACGGGCAAGATCCTGGGTTCAATTGCCCTCACTGAGGAAAAATAACAATAAAAACCCAAAACACAGGCTAAAATGGAAACATCCCATTTCATTCACATTTTTATTTTTACAATTAAAATGCACTTCAAGTTCTTGTAATTGTACCTAATCCATCTGTAGAAAAATCCTAACGGGATACCAGGGATTGACTGACTAGCAGGACTGGCGGTACACAAACGTGGAGCTGTGTGTCTGTCAGTCCGCCCTGGAGCAAGAAGAGTCGAGCTTTATTTATTTAATTAATTAATTAATTAATTATTTTGGTTTTTACGAGACAGGGTTTCTCTGTATTGTTTTGGAGGCTGTCAGTCCAGCCCAGCCTCGAACTCACAGAGATCCGCCTGCCTCTGCCTCCCGAGTGCTGGGATTAAAGGCGTGCACCACCACCGCCCGGCGAGCTTTATTTAAATTAGAGAAACATAATGCAGCACCCCAGCCTAGGTCCTAAGAGTATCTTTGCTCAAATGACGCACACAGGATGTAGCTCTGGGCTCCGAGTGGTCTGGAGGAAGGGTCTCGCTGTGTGGACCAGGCTGGCATCTAACTCGGAGATCCCCCTGCCTCAGCCTCCCGAGTGCCAGGGTCAAAAACATGAACTACCGGCCAGCCTTTTCTAACTATAAAAGCTTTAGAAACTGCACGGACCAGGACACTGAGAATCACAGAATCACGGGTTCCACACCCCCCCCCCCACTTCTATGTACGCATGTGTGTGTGGTTTGGGGGTTTGTTTTGTTTTGTTTTGCGCAAACGTTAGCACGCTTGTGCGCAAGCGCGTGGAGGCCAGCGGTTGGCGTCTGGAACCATCCAATCGTCATCGAAGCAGGACCTCTCAATCAAACACAGAGTTCGCCAATCCTGCGAGCCTTTCCGGCTCTGAGGATCGGGTATCAGCCTCCTGGGGGGGCTGGAATTACAGGAACCCGCCAAGCACACCCAGCATGCAAGTGTGTTCTCAGGCTCTGAACTCTGTCCTCAGGCTTGCACAGCAGGCACTGCCATCGGCCAGCCACCTCCTGGGCCAGGCTCCACCCCCTCCCCATGCGGGACTTCAGGATGGTCGCTGGGACACTGGAAAATGAATAATAGTTAACCTTCTAGAACCGCTGAGCGATGGCATGGCCTCTTCTGTGTCCTACCGTCTGTGGGGGAACCCACGCTCTGTCTGTACGAATGCTCACGGCTCAACCGCGCTGTGTTCTCGAACACATATTAACTATGGGGTGGCACACCGAGTACTTAGCCAGGCCCTTTATTTGAACACGTCCGCACCCCAAGCACCACGTCCACACCTCTTCTTGTCCCGGCTGACCACATTTGGTGTTCCAGTCCGTGATACGAATTTGAAATCTTAAGCAGCATTTGCAGGAGCCAACCCCCTTTTCGGCATAGCTATCATTGTAAAACAAACAAAAACAACAACAGAAACCAATCCATTACCAAGGCGCTTAGAGCATTTTTTGGGGGGGGGGTAATATCTAGTTGGGGGCGGGGGAGCGCGAGGGTGCCTTGCTAGTAAAATCGGTGAGAGAGTAATAGACTCTGAGAACCAAGCGCTGCAGGCCCAGGCATTCTGTGCTTTCGACATATGGCTTTTCTTATGAGATGAGACGGGAGGAAAACATGTAATTTCGCGTTTCAAAACAGCCGAAACCAAGCACCAGGCGATGTACGAGATAGGAAATCTCTATTTATTTATAAGCCCAATTACTAAGGCATATTGCTTTCGCATCTTATATATGAAGTATGACAATAAAGAAATGAGATGGGTCTTTTGTTGTTTGGCTCATAAAATGGCACTGATGGAATTTTCAAAATAAGAGTTTCTAAACAAGGAATTAAGGAATTCAAAGCGAGCGGGGCGAGTTTATAGCTGAGACCATTGCTATGCAGTTCTGACTTCTGTACTGAAACCAGTCACAGCACTTAGTCTCCTTAGCATACATATAATGTTAACCGGATATAAACTCAGTGCCGAAGGAGACATAGTCTCCCAACACATAAAAATAAATTTTTTTATAAGTCCTAAGAGCCATAGTTCAGTGATAGGGCACTTGCTCGGCATGCTCAATCTTTGTAATATCCTTACTACAGTAAGAAAGTCCTTCAAATAGAAACATGTATGCATTGGAGTGCATGGGGGGGTGGCAGAGTGACAGCCTTTGAGACTAGGACTAAACAGCTACGGCTGGCTGGAGAGCACACTCAGTGGTGACTTTTAGCCTTTCATTGAGATCTGTTCCCAGCACCCACGTAGGGCTATCCCAACTGTCTCTAATTCCAGTCCCAGGGGATCTGAAGACCTCTTCTGGCCTCTGATGGCACTCACACATAATGGCATCACACATGCACATTAATAAAAGTGTTTAAAAATAGACCAGCCAAGCCGGGCGGTGGTGGTGCACGCCTTTAATCCCAGCACTCGGGAGGCAGAGGCAGGCGGATCTCTGTGAGTTCGAGGCTGGGCTGGACCGATAGCCTCCGACAATACAGAGAAACCCTGTCTCGTAAAAACCAAAAAAAAAAAAAAAAAAAAAATAGACCAGCTAGCCTAAGACGAATGGTCTAAGATCTCATCTATACTTACTTCCTCTTTCTCCCCTCTCTCCCTCCCTCCCTTCCTCCCTCCCTCCCTCCCATCCTCTCTCTCTCTTTCTCTCTCTCTCTCCCCTATCTCCCTTCCACTCCCCTCCCTTTCCCTCTCCCTTCTCTCCCTCCCTCTCTCCCCCCCTCCTTTCTTCTCCTTGATTTCTCCCTTGCTTTCATTCATTCTGGTACTGAGGGTTGGACAAAGGATGTCACACATGCTGGGCTACCATTCTACCAATGAGCTATATCCCCAGCCCTACTTTTACATTTAAAAAAAAATTGACACCTGCCTAAACGCATGTGTATGCATACCATATTCAGACCCCCCCAGTCCCTTATCTCCCATGATCTCTTTTGTACTTTGTATTTTGAGACAGATTTTTTTTTTTTTTTTGGTTTTTACGAGACAGGGTTTCTCTATATTGTTTTGGAGGCTGTCGGTCCAGCCCGGCCTTGAACTCACAGAGATCCGCCTGCCTCTGCCTCCCGAGTGCTGGGATTAAAGGCATACGCCACCACCGCCTGGCATTGAGACAGATTTTTAATGGGTTGCCCAGGTTGGCCTTAAGCTAACTCACTCTGTAGCCCAGGCTGGTCTTGAATTTTTTATCCTCCTGCCTCAGCCTCCTGAGATACTAGACTATAAGCTGCCTGGCCAAACTTGAGAAGTCGACTTCTAGTCACCCTGGACAGACAGGGCAACAGCAGGCTAAAGAACAATTCTAACTACATGTAGGCAGATGAACCAGTGAGTTTACGGGGGTGACTTACCCAGGAGGATGGGTTGTGTCACAGGAGCACGGACAATTTAATGGGCAGCTAGACCATCAAGCGTCTCCTCTGTCAAAGGCTGTCAGCTGCTTACACACCCTGGGAAGGAGCTCAGATGCTCA